TGCGGTTTAGTGGTGTATGGAGCCTCTCCCAGCTGTCATTTGGCGTAAGGTGTGGTGCACCCTGAAGAGGTCGCCATCATTTTCCCCTTACTTTTTTTACTATTTATTTTGGGCATGTTGCCGTTCTAAATTTGTTTATGCTTTCTAAATTAACCTGGTAACAGAATGCACGACTAATAATTATATTTGTACTGGCGAAAAAGATTAGCCTTTTACCAAAACATCCTCATTTTTCTGCACGTGGAGTTTGCACAACGTAATGCATGTTATGGTTACATGCCGGGTCAAAAGCGCATCGAGCTGCTATGCGAGTATAAAAGAATCCACATGGCGCTTTAGATGCGCTTAACGAGTGCATGGACACAATTAAATATGCATAGACTGAAAAAAGGCTATCAACAAATCACAGCTATTGGGATGGGTCTTGACAGGAATATTCAAAACAGAGTGATTCATCCACCGACTGGGCCAAGGATTATGACTGAAGGGTTGACCACGTTAGCGGGTCGTATCCCGAACCCTCCCCTCACTTTCTCCCTGAACTCACTGATGTATCTGTCTCTAATTCTATTATTACTTCTTAATAGACTGAAACAAGTCCCTCAATAACACCCACTTCTTTTAGCAGCGGATAATTAATTCCATATTTTCAAAAACCCATGGTACCAACCCATGCCAGCAACATAGCAGGGAACGGGGGAGGAACACTAAATCTGCTTTTTACACGGGAAACAGGGACGCACATAAATTGCCAGTTTCCTATCTCACTTTTTACTTTATGGTGTTGTTCTCCGATTTGTCAGAGACGGCGTGATTACGGAGCCAACACTTTTCACAAAACACGGATTCTGTGGAGGGAGAGAGGCACAGCAATAACAGGAACGGTTTAATTACTTATTTTTTTGTACATTAACTTGATTTTTTTTTAGCTCAAAGCTGAACTTACTTCTCTGTTTATAGTAAAAGAGTGAAATAAATATCGAATGACCATTATATAAGATATGTCAAGCTCTGCAATGCTAAACAACCCAAGTATTAATGTGTGCTCTCTTGGAAAGCAAATGTAATACTATGGAGCAGCTCCAGAATAGAGGGACTGCCTCCAAGTGCAGGCAGCACAGAGAGAATGCATTAGACTTGCGGTCGGCTGATCTTTAGCTCTTGAAAAAATGCCGACATCTCCTCCCTCCAGTCCAAAACTAAGACTGGATCATAGCACAGGGGGAAAGGTTTAGTGTTCATAATTTGAGGGATTTGAATGAAAAACTTAAATGGGAATGGAACGTGAACGGCTTTTCCCCAGAGCTTGATTATGATGATGTTCCCACATCATCATCTGCAAGTCGTAGAAGGAACTGGAACATTTCGCTGAAGGGGGGTGTATTCCATGATTTCATATGCCATGCTAGAGAGCTCCATAATATACACAGACATGGTCAGAAAACATGGTTACATCTTCGATCACGATCAACAAACGCTGGGAGCTTGAGATGAAGGTGTTGAGTGAAAATGCAATCGTCCACTTTTCCACTATGTCTACATGGCAAGGGATTTCTGCAGTAGCTGTGGTGTCTGTGGTCTCCCATGATGACCTAGTGGGACACTGCTGAACTGAAGCAGCAGAGTCAGATCGCATCCAACGGGCTTCCGACCAAAAGCAGGGAAGTATGCACCAAGCCAAGATGCAAGATGTTGAGCAAATACCTTTATCCAACAGGGTATCTTGCAGGACTAAATGAAAGTGCATCAATATCAATGGTGTAAACAATTCTAAAGTCGACAGTATCTACCCGACTTCTCCTCATAAACGCTTTGATTCTGATCCTGATCTCCCTGTTTGTTTGTTTTTTTTTTTATATGTGTGCGTGCGTAGACACAAATAGACACCAAACCTGAGCGGATCGAAAGTCTAAACTGCAACCGTTTCTGCTGCACTCACATAAACACATCACCTGAAAACTCGACCAGGCGTTTCTCTACATCCTCGTGCTTTCTGGCAGACTTTGTATAGTGGCAAAGCTGTCATTTAAAACTTTAAAAGAAAGACTTAAATGATTCCCTGTCTTCCTATCCAGTGGAGCAGATCATGAATGGGACTGAACCATTTGTTTGATCATCCATTAAAACAATTCATTTTATCCACACTATACCTTCTATATGCCAATTAAACGCCACAATAGGCTATGGGAACTATGGGATTGTAATTTAAAAGCTTTAAAAGTCTCATCTTTCTGTGATAAATGTGACCCTCACACCTTAGCTGTTGGCGCTCACAGACAAATAGCCCAGATCTGAGTCAAGTCAGCAGATTTATCAGTGGGCACTAAACCTCACTTATGTATGAATAGTGCACAGACGTAATTACTAAAGCTCACGCCAATTCTCTGCCTTTGAATTAAATAAAACAATTAAAGACATTTAAATGGGAATTAAAGGGGAGTACGAGGAGTCATACAACAAAAATACAACATGCCTGGCCTGAGAAGAGACTGCAAAATCAAAAAGGACCGAGAGAAAAGAAGCTGAAGAGGGACACTACCCTTCTCTCTTTACAACAAGGTGCGTAAAAGTTGAACATGTTCATTGATTATTCTATAAATGATCTGAGCTGTGAGTTTGTATGATTGTGTCTCACTTTAAAGCTCAGGTGTGTATTGATGACTTGTCTCCATTGCACTCCACCACTCAGCCATCCTAATCCAGTACGGCCTTAAACTGGTCAGAGTTTACATAGAAAATGGATGCATGTAACAAGGTGAAACATCTTCTCCCCTTTTTCGCAAGCTTAAAGGAAAAAGCATATTAACTTGAACGGGGAAAACTAAGACTGGCCATAATTGACAGAGGGAACAGATCTCTAAGTACGAATACGCTTTTGTTTAGTTAAATGTTCCTAAACTACCAAGGGTACCAGAAGAATGAGGGGATGTGGTGAGGGCATAAAAACTGACATTTTGTAGTTTACAAGGTAACATAATCCCGCTAGTCCAAGATATGACATGTAAGGAAAAACAATCTAAAAAGTCCTTCCATCTTGGCTCCTTTAATTCTTTCTCAACAAAACCCAAAGTCCTAAAATGTGAATATGCATTGATCATTCCAATTGAGATCAACTGGTAGGTGGATCTAAAGGAAGACGTCATTATTGGGATAGTTTATTGAGAGGGCCACCAAGGTCCATCATTACTGGATAATCAGGGCAGGCCCAGTGGTCATTGCTCTCTGACCATAACTGGACACCAACAGTGATGTGCTCAGTGCGGCCTCGTTAAGCATTTATATGTACAGATTTACTATGGAAACCAAACAAGAACAGCTGAAGCGAGCCCGAACATCAGATGACGCCATTAGCGACTGGGGTGGACACGTCAACCCGCGGACAGAAAGTGGAAGAGACCCCAAAGTGTTTCGTGGCCCGTATCTGACTAAACATGGGACGTTAACTGGGCTTTTCACGATCAAAAACACAATGTGAATCACCCAAGCACTTACACACAAGATATACAACAATGTTCACAAAGACCAGTCGGAGAACGACAACTACGTACGTAACAATGACAAAATGCTGATTCCCACGAATCACTTTACTTGATGTAAACAATTAAAAACAACATTCCCAAATGAAGATGAAATTCAAAGATGCTTCCATTGCTAAATACACTTTCTCAATATCTGAGTCCTTTCAAAGAACATAAAAAAAGAGACCGGACGGATGAAAAGTGGGAATGTTGAGGAAAACACAAGCTCCGTTACAAAAGAAAGCGGCGCTTTTTACAACAAAGGAAAGACAAAATGCTTTCGTAAAGGGAGCTGGGGCTCGTTCAGCTACTCCTTAAGAGAAGTGATTGTTAACAGAACCACTGGATTAAATGCACAGCCCAACCGCAGTATAATGACAACAAAGCATCTTCTAAATGAAAGGAAGTGTATAAATGTCCCTGTAAAACAAAAAGCAAAGCAGAAGACATTTGCAGAACCCCAAAGGAAGAAAAAAAAAAACGTCGTAAATGTAAATGTTTGCTTGCTCTTGGCCTTTTTTCTCCGCATGCATGCGCACGCCCTCTTGAACCAGCCAGCCATGGACACAACCAATTTAGCTCGATTAACAACAGATGTGTCCATCTATTTCGGTTCAACATCGGTTCTCTGCAATAACACCATTAGTTGTCTCCTCATTTACGATATCATTTTTCAGCCATACGTTTTCCCCATTATGGGCCCGAGCGCTACACTGTAGCTTTTCCATAACTCTGACATCGGCAGTCGGCCTGCTGTTCGCTGGCAGGCTCATAGCGGGCCCTACGCCGGCACCAATCGGAGCGGGAGGGGAAAAAATGCACAGTCAACGAAAGCGAAGGGCAACATCGATGGGGAGGAATCGGCGGCGTGTGAAGTCCTCATGAGCGCGGTTGGACTGAAGAGTCGAAAAAGATGAGCTGCTGCTTCGAGTTTAAACTTAGCGATGTGTGCAGCTTCGGTTTGGCTTGGGAAGAGCCCACAGTTTCTTCAGTTCAGCGGGTCGGGGGCTGGTGCCACATTCTTGGTATTCCTCTGGTATAATTCCATGAAACGGAGACAATAAGATGGCTCGAAACATGCATCGCACGTTGGCTTCGTTTTTCTTTTTTAATGCGAAAGGCATCGATGTTTTCGCCATAAATGACTATCTACAATCCAAAGCAGCAAAAATAAAACTGCTTAGCAATAGGGGAACGCACAATATCTGAGATAAAACTCCGGTTTTGCCGAGTCTCATCAGTGTTATCTCATAGTCACATACCGCATGAATCTATTTGAAGGTTTCCTCATGTAGCTGCTTTGTTATTTAGTACCTCACTGAAGCAATACAACGTATAACGCGAAAATACAATCATAATCAGAGAACTTATTTTTAATATTTGTGATCATTTTTGAAAATATGATCACAATGTATCCGAGCCCACATACAGACATAAAGACCCGATGTGCCCTTTCCCTTTCGTAAAGAAACCCAGACTGACCTACTCGCAGCTCCTGACCGAAGACTGTCCTCTCCCCCAGCGCCGAACAGTTCCAGCGTCCATATCGGAACTGGTATTGACACTCATTGATGCCCATCTGGGCGCCTTCGCCCACAACAATGATGGCGTCCGGGCGGCTCTGGCAGATGGCCCGCTGGCGAGGTGCCAGCCCTGGAATCTTGTTGCAGATGATGTTGGCACCGAGAGCCACCACCGAGGACAGGGCCCTGCCGGAGCAAGAGAAGCACACCACGCGTTCACACGCACACACCAGCGGACACGCGCGCACAAACCACACACAGACACACACACACACACGCAAACAAACTCAGTTAGAACTTTCACAGGATTGTCAAACTGACTTAGGTCTGTGAGATTCTCCAGAAAAAAGGATTACATTCAGCCAGTGATTGATGCACATCCCATAATGAGCCAAAAGCCGCACGGCATAAAGGTATTACTGTTTCATCGATTACGGCTACGGCGAAAAATCTTAAAGCTTAAACCGGAATAAAACGTTCTGAAGACAAGGAAACTTTGGAAAAAGAGCCCAGAGATGCTTATTTAACTACTGACAACACCATTCCACATTGCTCTGGATAATGGGAGTCTGAGTAATGAGTTTGGGCTTTTCTGTTAATTGTTGGGTACCATAGTGCTCTGAACGGTCGCCAGGCTCTTATGTAAATACAATATGCACTTGCTCAGCTTCCTCTGCTGTAGATGCAGTCTTAACTTTTTAAACAAATGTCATACTAAATACCATAGCTCATGGTTTCATTCACCAAACACTGCCTGTACACTGATATATCTGTAGCCACACCCCATGACTGGTTTGCATGAAATATATCTTAAGGTTTTCAATAGGGAGCACCTTTATTCATATGTTTTTTTTCTGTATTACAGTGCACTGAAAATGACGTGCTTTGTTAAGTCTGTAAAACACATGTGACCCCTCGCCGTAAATGTACATAAAAGCGTATGTCAAGGATTGTTTTTTCAACGTCCCAAGAAGGCCAAAACAGATTGGGACTAAACAAAGCACTGACTCGGCAACGGGTTCTGTTTACGGCCCCAGAAACCATGTAGATACACACTTTCAAACATGTCAGGAACGGGGGAGCCAGAGATGAACACGGTGGCGAGAGGCCCGCTTTGAAATACGACATCGACCTCCGAAAGGACTGACCACAGACGGGGCGAGCTAACACAGGCCATTTGTGCGTCGGCTAAAAGCAGAGGAGAATAAAATGGAAGAACTGGTGGGGCAGGCAGACCTCTGGATGGCAATTCAAGTTCACGCTGCCGCTGGTCGGAGGCCCTGACCAAGACCAAAGACGAGATAGAAATCACTCCCAGATAACCGCACTCCGCTTCCGACGGTTACTTAACTCTCCCTACAAACATGAATTTCAATTTCAAATGCACACGTTCAAATAAGTCCTAACAGCTGTGAGATGAGCCGCTGTTACCCAACTAAGGAGTGCACACATTCTCTTGGTTTCGCAGTCACAGGAGTTAACAAAAGCATAAAAGGGGAGTGTCAGTGAGTGCACTGTTGGTTTTGCTAACACTGCTCTAAAAGGGACCACAAAAGACAGCTAAGAACACGTTTTTCTTTACAAGTTAGGCATGTAAAAATGTTTAGTTCCACAGAAAAGGAAGCCCCTTCAGCCAGATTTTGATTAGGCAAAGGGCCTAACTTGTTGTGGTCTGCAGAAACAGGACCTCATGACACCTAGGGGCCTCGACGAGTGTCATTTCTAGAAAGCAAATTGGTCCAATTCGAGATCTCCCTTCAGGCAACGGGACATTTGTCAGGTGCATTCTGTGTCCGCTGTAAACACTCTGTAGCCTGCTACTGCTTTCACTGCCTCTTTGCTCTGTGATTTTAAAGCAACACAAACTCCTCTGACCCCTTTTGACCCATCGCCGTACATGTGGTCGTTCATGGCAACAATATTATCCGGTCTGCTCGGGCTGGTAAAGCTCATGGAAGTGGAGAAATTCCCTCTCTTGTTAAATTGATTTTAAGCTTCACTGGTGCTAGTTTGCTTCTACTCCCTGGAGTCGTTTCGTATCTTGTTTCTTTCTGAATAAAGCAGCACAACAGCACACTGGTATTTTCAGGACAGACAATGGGAGCTCTTAATAACCGACTGTCTTGGCTGTTCCTCATTTCCTTCACCTGATAATTCGCAGAACACAGTCTACCACGGGCGCCCCGAACCATCAAACACCAGAGAATTCCAGAGTTAAGCTTTTAAATCCCTGCATCATCAAAGTGCACAAATGCGATTCTGTTTGCTTAGCGTATACTCTGTATGTATGCCAGCAGCTTGGGGACAGCTCGCACAGATCTCCCATCAGATAGATGGTCAACACAGACTAGTGCCTCAGACTAGCACCGGTTTTAGTTGTATTTTCAATTCCATGTAAACAAATACATCAACTATGTAAGTGGCAACCAACTGATAATAGTGTTTGATTTGTTTGGTTTTTGTTTGCTGCAAAGCAATCTCCTTAAAATATTGCACAGCCCATATTAAGAATTGTGAGTAAACCAAGAAATCTATAGACCTTTAAACCTAAAAGTGTTTCCTCATAGAGAAGAGTGGACCTAAGGAAAGTCACACTGTGTGCTTACAGCCATCTACAGACGGGGAACACATACAATCTGACACATCTAACACATCAGGCTTTCAGAAATGCATCTTCTACCGGGAAGTGGCCAAACCAAAGTCCTCGGGACAGGCCGTAACCATGGGAAAAAAAGCTTTTCTCGGAGCAAAAAGTGCTAAACACGATGGCCCTCTTTTGCTGCTCATTTACTTGTAAGTTGAGTCGAAACATCCAAAACCAAATAGGTGTATATATACTACTGCTTTCACTTCTCTGGAACTCACACTCTGACTAAACAATAACAATACAAACATACACAGGACTTCCACTGGAGCAGTGAGTACCGTTTCCTCCCAACCAGACTGTGAGGCAGACTGTTTAAAAAGTCCAAAACACACAGCTTTGTAGTTTTGATCACAGGGGCATTGTTTTCGCATTATTTCACATTCAATCAGCCTCCACTTTGGGTCCAATGGTTAGTCCTCAACAGGAATAATAGTAAGAAATATTCAAAAACAAGCGACTTTCTGAAGCTTTTGATGTGAAAGCTTTCAATATACACAGCAGTGGAGCCCACTTTCAGCAGAAAACCAAAAACCACATCTATTTCAGCATCAGGTTTGGGGTCTCCGGGCAGCGAAGACAGAAAAAGAAGGGAGCGTGGGTGAATATAATTATTTTGGAAAATGTAAGATCGACGGTGCTCTCCTTTTTTCTCCTGCAAGTGACATATCTTTTCATTCAAAACAGCAGCCCTTTAGAATGTCAATCACAGGCAGATTGGAAGACTTTAACACCGAAAGACTAAGAATACACCAAATAGGGACGATCATCCCCCCCTTGAAACTCAGATGGAGCAGCAGTGTTCGCGTAAAAACGGCACAAACTGTATTGAGTCGTCCTTTGCAGGGAGAAAAAAGGGGAGAAGGAGAAAAAAAAAAGAATCTCCGTATTCGATTGTCTTGAACATCTCTGCCACTCTGTGGCCAAAGTGAATCCATGTCGGCTACCAGTTACCACAGATGATTATTTTTTTCTTGATCTGGCTAAATGTTTGCAGGAGCCACAGCTAATTAGGTTCCCCCTCGCGAGACACTTTCGTACGCGTAAAAAGCGCGGAGCCTTCCGAACTAATTAGAGACCACGTGGATCGGTTTCCCCCCGGCGGTATCCTCGTTGGTTTGGAATCTCGACCTAATCACCCATAAATACCACCTAAGACCTGTGTAACATATATGAAATTGCCCAACAATTTTTTCCCCCCACATTTCTTCAACTCGGGCTGTGCCTGATCACTGTGCTGTTGCAAATGAACATCTTACGCCGAATCTGAAATCTCTGGGCGTGGAGAACTGCCATGGACATCTCGACTGGATAAATTATTGTTACAAATAGAATATGGCCAGTTTTCCCCCAGCCGTAAGGTTTCAATCGGTGGGGGGGGGGGCAGCGTCAAAGCCCCCGGTGCGTCCTTCTGTGGCCAAAAAGCACAAACGCGCGCGATCCTCCGGAGTTAATTAAGGAGCCGTTAATTGGCTGGGACTTACAGGTAGCTGCCGCTCGTCAGGATGAGGAAGATCTGCGGGTAGTACACTGACAGCAGTACGCTGCGCGACGAGAGGATGATCATGATGACATTGAGCGAATGGCCACCGCTCTGACTGAGTGAGACGACCCGGACAGGATGAGAAAGGGAGGGTAAAAAAAAAAGAAGAAAAAAAGAAGTCCCTTATTCCTAGCTTTACGTTCCTGTCGCACCGGATTAAAGAAAAAAAAAAAAAAAAGAAGAAGTTGCTGCGCGTTATCCTCGTCTCTCTCTACGCAGCTCCGAGCTCCCAGGGCCGAGTGTGCGCTGAGATGGGCTCTGTCATCTCTCAGCGGCGGAGGCTGTTACACGGTGCTGCGGGGCTGCGATGCCGGGAATTGTGATGGTTTTAGGGATTCTGCATGGCCAGAAAAGTGCCTCTCTCCACTCTCAAGAGAGTCGTGCCTGCCATTGGGCAGAGAGAGACACTGCTATCCGCCCACTTTTGCCACAGCGGGACAATAGGGTGACACCGATGCGATCCACCGCTGAACGCGCAGGGGGTTTCATTCATTATCCCCCCCCCACCCACCACCACCACCCCCTCACCCCCTCCCTCAGTACCTCTCAACACCAACCCAACCCCACCACCCAGCCCAAAAATAAACACCCATACGCTGACCGCCCTCAGCTTCGCGCTATCATGGCAGATCTATGCGTAAAGAAAAAAATAGGAAAAAGAAAGAAAATGCAGAATGCAGAATGCATCTTTTTTTTCTCAATTTTGAATCAACACGTTGGTGCAATCACATGACACCATCTCTTACAACCTGACATCTCTCTGTCTATCCGGATGGATGTCCAGAATGAGAGCGGACACACTGATCTTATGTCATCCGCCCGTTAACGGTAACGCGGAGTCCTTTGCGCGTTGGGATAAATATCTCATTAGGTGAACTGAAGAAGTGTGGTTGGAGTACTAGAACACGAACACCCCCCGTCACTTAATCACCACTCTTGTTATGCCTAAAGGGGTCTGCGATGCTTGCATCTCCCAACATCCCGGCATGACCAAAGAGACGCTGCAAAATCACATGATCACATCCTCACGTTTCATAACTGATTTAAAATAGACTTAGAGAGAGAGAAAAAAAACAACTGAAATGTATAAAATGCCACCATTGTTGCCCGAGATTGGATCAGAGCTGTGAGAAATCAAATACTAGGGGGTAGATTTTTGTCGCGGAGCTGAGTGAGTGCAGTTTTTTTTTTTTTTTTTTTTTTTCGCCTCAACATCGTGACTCTCACTCAACACCTGCAGGCTCCAGCCATTGTAAGCGAAGAGGGTACCATGAAAGATTTAGCCCGAGTGAAAGGATGGAAGGAATGAGCCAACCGCCCGGGATTAGTAAACAGCACGACGGTGGATGACTTTTACCTCATAATGGAGCCACTGTCATGCGATACGCGCGTTCTGTGGAACTTGGATGAGACGGGCCCCGGCTTCCCGAGGTTTCTCACACACAAGAGGGCTGACACTTTTGCCCGTGTGATTCATATGTTATAGCCTACCAGGAAACCGGTGCGACCGCTTTAAAGATAGCTGTCTATTTCCCTGAAATTTTTGCCTGATGGCAGCTTCTGTTCCACTTTACAGTCGAATGACTTTACGCATCGGTGATCGCAACAGATTCAGAAAGGGTTGAAGAAAAATACATTTCTATAGAAAACACAACGCCTCAAATAACTTATATCGATTCTGGGGGCTTCTCCTCCAACTCCATCATCACTTTTTGAGGGGTGACACTGTTACCCCTGTAACAAGGCCCAGGATTGTATTCAAGTTCAAGTATAGAGTTACATGTAGTGATGTGAGTTTCAGATGGGGTATCAACCCAAATTGCAACCAAAAAACGATCAGAAATAAAGGTTTATTTTGCATGTGTGTGTCTGGAGGTCTTTTATAGGACTGCTAAGAGGCAAATAAGGAAGGGTGAGACGCCCTCCGTGTTTAGACGTCTAGGTGAGCTGCAGCAACACAGGTAAAAAAAAAAAAAACTCTGTCTGCGCAGTGGAATGTGGAAATACAACTCAGTCTACCGCTATTAATGAAGGTATGCAGAGGGGGGGTGAGCTGGTTCTGGTGCAGGGACGATGGCTCGAATGATCCCGTGCGACAAATAGAGGAGCGAAGCAAACAAGCCTGTGACAGCGAACACATCACGCCGCGTTTGCGTGAGACGCGGGATCCGGGCTTTTTACGCACGGCGCGTTTCTTAGAATAAAACCCACCAGCTTTGTTTTTCTTTCTCTTTTCTGTCCTGAAATACCCCTGATGGTGATTGTATATAACAGGGGGGTGAGGTCAGAGGGCAGTAAAGACTTCTACAGTGTTTGCACGTTTGCGTGCAAGTGTTACGACGGGTGTGTTATCAAGGTTTTGCATAAACGTGAGCAAAAAAAAAACAAAGAGGTGATGAGAGGAAAAAACAAAAACTCACCCAAGTCTGAGATATATGATCCCAAAACACAGGAATATGTAGAGACTCCGCTTTCGGAGGGGCCTGTGCATGGTCGTTCCCACTTCGTCCGGAGGCCATGCACAGTTAAAAACAAAGTGGCCACGCTTTTCCTTTCCTCTTCACATTGGCAGGTTTACTTAACCCCCCCAGATGCAGGTATACCGTCTGTTCGCGGGGACGTGAGAGTGAAGGTCCTTGGGAAGCTTCGACCGCGTGAAATCCATGGTTCAGTACAGGTGTGATGCTGAGGACGATCTGCGGGTCCAAAATGAAACTCGAGAAAGGGTATAGGAAAAGGTGAATGAGTTCTTGTTGGAGGAAGTGCCTCCTATTCGTCCTCACTTTGACGGTGGAATCGAATTAACTATTCCCCCTTTGCTGCACCTTGAGGGCAGGAAAAGAAAGCTCGACTCGTTTGGCACCTTTTTCTGCGCCACTCGGGAGCCTGTCTCGACAAAAACCTCTGTGTTTTTTTCCGCTCGGTCTGTTTGGAGGGGACATCTCAGGTGGAGAGAATGTTACTAACTTGCAACAGCCAGGTAGTCTAATACAGGTAACAAAAGCGGTGCGCGCCTCCTCCTCCTCCTCCTCCTCCTCCTCCTCGTCTTCCTCCTCCTCGGGCAAAGATACGCAGTCAGGGAGTGGGTCGGGCTTCCAGGCAGAGCTCAACACGTGTAGTTGTTGTACAGAAAACTAAAAAAGAGTCCCATGGAAATGGCCTTTTATAGGCCTCGTAGCACCAGGCTGGGCACTTGCTAAGCTGGGCATGCCCCCACCAGTTTGGTGCTCCCCGGATGAGCCACACCACAATAATTGGCTGGAAGAAAAAAAAATCAAATGGCTTTGCAGCTGTTAGAATAAAAAATTAAAAAAACACCGCCGCATGACTAATGACACGTAATGATCACGCACTGCCTTTCTGATAAATCTGTCATAAAGGCTCCGTCTGTCGCTTTGATTGATGGAATCAAAACAACATAAATAAAACAACATTTCTTGGGCTTCAGTGAATGGGATGTAAATGTTGTCATTTGGTGCAGATGCTTTTATATGGACTCATCTCCCTAGGGAGCAATTATGGGACTAAGAAGACTCCCTCTGGTGGCTATAAGTCGTTTCAGAGTTGATCTGGTTAAGAATGCAGAGATGAGCTTCTACAGCTGGATAGGAGCCCTGCACAGCAGTCCTTCCCGGATAAGGAATGGAAATAGGCCTCATGCAACTGTTTGATAATGTCATTTAGATGCATAAAAAAGCATATTTAAATAGCACTGTGCAAAAGTCTTGGGAGAAGACCTTATAATTTTGTATATTTTGCCTCCAAGACATCAGACTTTTTCTATATTCATAAAAAATATTCCAAAAGATCTCCAGGCTTTTTGGAGGTCTTTCAAATTTTTCTTTTTAACTTTTTCACCTAACGAGATCACACTGTGAAATAGGTCACCGTTTTAACCAGTGTTGTGTGTGCATGTGACGGAGAACAAAGAAGCTACTTTAAAATGTATCCCTAGGCTGTTTATTACTGTCAGACTGCTGCAAAGACACAGAGTTTGTTCTGATATCTTCAGTTTTCTCTTAAAAAAGAAAAACAAAATCCCAAGTTAAGTCATTTGGGCAGGTTTTAGGCAATTTGAAGCAGTAAGGTGATTTAACAGCCACATACAGTAGTTCTGACACTAAGCTCTGTCCCTGGACTTTAGGGGTCCAACTGGACCTACAGTTAATACATCTATTGTTCACTTAAGCGCGATCGATCAAAAAACTGAAGGGTGGCTGTCAGAGAGGGAGGGAAAGGGGGAGAATATGCCAAATAACACAAGAACTGGAGTGAAAATCAGTGGCAACAGGTCTTACAGAGTGATGGATCCTCCCCCAGAGCACAGACCTCAACGTTATTGAAGCAGTGCTGGATCATCTTAACAGAAAACCAGACAAAAGCCAGCCAACATCAAATGAAGAGCTTTGGGATGTCCTTCAAATATTCCTGAGGACTACTTTAAGGGCTGATGAGAAGGTTTGCCTGAGATGGGTTCAGGCTAGGTTGATGAATAAGGTGGTCATACCAAATATTGACTTTGAAACTTACTTAGTACTTTGCAGTACTTATGTCTTTTTTCCTGGAAATGCGTTTTAAAAAAGAGATGGCTCAAGTATTTTGACCGGTGCTGTTTCTTTTTTTCCATCTGACCACTATTCCTCAATGGTTTTGTTTGATTATATCACACAGAGTGGAGGATGAAAGAGTTTAGTTTCTTAAGTAATCATGCAAAATGTCAAAAACAGTGTTTGATATGTTGATTTTATGATGATCTGTCAGTCTGTTAGTGCTCTCTGATAAATGTAGTGACGGTGATTTTAACATTTTTGACACAAGCGGGTCTTATTAAATCAGAATTAAATTCTGTCTCTTTTACTGCAGCAGACATCAGACTAGCTTTCTCTTCTTTTTTCAAATTTATGCTCTTGGTAGTGCTTCTTAAGGGGACACAAAGCATCATTTGAGTATATTTCCAAGAAACAACATGAAAAACAGCTAACTTGTTGTAATAATGATGGCATAAACTAAAATTACAGACATGAGCTATCTGAACGCGGAGACTGCCGGGCTGTTGTTCACCACCAGAAACAGACAAAACCGCAGAGACCTTTGTTTCAAGACATCCCTACTTTGTGGTTTCGAGGCCCTTTCCTTCAAAACATGCCCATCAAAATTCCAGATGGATTTTAGAAATAATGAAAGTCAACATGCAGGCCCACGGTGACATAAAAAAAGACATGCATTTGATGTCTACCCTGTAAAAGATGGTCTTGTTTGTCCTCAAATGTACATAACTCACAGGCCTGGGTGGGGATGGCCCCGTTTAGTTTAATTAAAATGTTCAAAGGCCTGACTCTTTTTTTTTTTATTTTATGGAAGCAAGATCAAGACCGGGGACAGTGTGCGTCAGCGTTTTCTTTGTCACCCGTCGTTGTCGCTTGCAGACGTGTCGTGCGCATCCACACTTGCCGGCCTGCAGAACACACACACATCATCACACACACACACACACACACACAAGCGAGCAGACCCACACGTCGGCGGCCTTAGACGCGAGCACCACAGGCATTTCGCCGACTCCCTCACACACTGCAGCGCCTGGGTGGTATGCGGAGGATCTTGTGACACACTGTTTATTTAACTTCAAAAAGCTTGGGGCTGGGATGAGAGCGTTCGGGTCGGCCGGGACACCGGTCTGAGTGAGTCCTACGCCACATCACCGGCCATCACCTCCCGGAAGACATTCCCCCATCTTGTTTGCTTAATGTGTCTTTGTTTGCTCTATGATTCTGATTAACAAGTGTCGGTGAAAGCTCCTCGACGTTTGACCGTGGTGTGCTTTTTATCAGCACTGACTGAGGAGAGGAGAAGAAAATGTCGGGAAGAAAGGGAGCAAAAAGGGGGGACTCATACGTTGGCAAGCGTGGGATGATATGTCGCACTGTCTTTCGGAATATTATTAAGTACTCTTGACCGACAACTAAATAAGAAAACCCACCGGTTGCCCATGTGTTTGCATGGGAGCTGGTTCAGCTGGAAACAGTGAGAGGGCTGAAATGCGGAGCGAGCCAAACCACGGAGTGGCGTCTGGAGCTGGGTCCACCACATCTACACTGGGCCCCAGGCTAAAAGGGGGTGGGGGGGGAATGGCTATAGTGCACTCACAAAGTCCCCCCCCCCCTTTTCCATCTCTTTCCATCTCGTACATCTCACTGCAGCTCTCGGCTCCTCTTGATTTTTTTTAACGCTTCTCGTAATCGCCAAAGTTCAGATTTCCCTCTTGGATCCCAGAACGAGCGCGTGACCTCTTGAACCCGCGTGTCAGATGCCTGCTTTTACATCTAACTGCGATGTCAAAGGTTAAACCAGCACCACCAAGTCCTCCCATCCTCGCCAATGGGTTTGACCTCTTCCCCTCCCCCGTGAAGCCCCAGCTGTGGTGCAGAAAACGCGGTGTGGTCCTCGCCGCGCTCGCCGACAGGTCAAGGACTTATCGGAGCTGACCTTTGCATGTGTGCGCACATCGATCTGCCGAGGAAGGGCCTGTTTCCCCTTTTTTTTTTTTTACCAGCTGAGCCTATCTGAAATGCTGCACATCTCAATTGAAAGCCATTATATCACGTTCATTTACAGCGTTGCTGTTTGAAATGTGGGTCCCTGTCTCTGACAAGTATGCTAACTAGCTAAACCATCATTTGGGTTTTCATGAGCTGAGGTGAGAGCATTGGGAACGAAACAAGGAGGCGGGAGGAATGTACTGAATTCTGACAGTGTTGGACTTCACTCTCTCAAAGGGGCACACGTAAATGAGAGGACAAGAAAAGAAAATAAGCCCTGCTGAGAGTGGAAGAATCCTTAGAGTGACGGACACACTGAAAAGAACATGGCCGCTTATATGTGTGTTTTTTCACCAAAGAAACAGAAGAAACAGTCGGTAATTAGTTCCTGACAGTCAGCAGGGGTACCATCGACTGAAAAGATCACAGCACCACCATCAGCAACATCTGTCAGGAACAAGACAGCATAAGTAATAGCTTGTTTTTCTGACTTTATGTTGTCTGCACAAACATTTCTGATTTACAAGGCTATATATTCAAATATGCAGAAAGCACAATAAAGTACAACCAGAAAAATGTTTCTGTGTTCTCCGTTCCAGTCCATCCGTTTTTTTGTTGTCCACGAGCTGTTGTTTTTTTCTTTGTTTGCTTTATTTCTTTATGAATATCTTTGGTCTTTTCCTCTAATGTGAGAAACAAAAGACTGGCAGAAAAGCTTGATCACTGGTTTAAAGTTGCATTTTAATGGAAACCGCCCCCTTATTCTTCTATCAAGCCTCAGATCATCAGGTCATGCTACAAGAAAATAAAACATATTTTACAACACAATATTTCCCCAAAGCCACCGATCACAGAATTCCTCCTGATCCGTGGAATTTTACGGTATCTTCTCCGGGCCGTGCTCCAACTCTCCACCAAGTTTCAGAAAATATAGCTTGGAAGTTTCTTAATGTTAGCATTGAGAAAAAAATTCAAACTGTTAGAACTAACAGAGAAACAGAGGAATGTCACAAAAACAAAACATCAACACCATTCTGTCTCCTTGGGATCAAGAATGGAACCTGAGGATTTACATTGACAATAAAATCTGACAGACATTTAGCTGGTGTGTGTGTGTAGCAAACACTTCAAACATTGTGTGCAGTGGACTGAACACAAACAGGTCTCTCTGCTGCCGGTTAATAAGTCTGAGGATATGAGAAAAAGCTTTGGGAGTCCTCCTATGTTTGGCACTTTGGACGGGATACCATCTGAAATATTAACATGGCTTCCAGAAGCAACAATTCAACCGGATCTTTTTTCTTTTTTACATTTTATTAAAAAACAAGTGGAATCAATAAAGAAAGACCGACACAAAAAACCCAAGGTTGTGGTTAACTCGAGGACAATAAGGGTGTTTTATGATACTCTAAGTAACGTTCTCGCATGGCTAACTCCGGAGTGTGTGTTGGTCTTCCTGGCTTTTAGTGAACGTTCTGATCGTGTTCTCCCTAAATGGGCAGGGATGTGTTGGAGATAACGTTGCAAAACAGCATTAGGTATTAACTTTCCTCCCTTCTTTTGGGTAAACT